AGTTTGTGCATTCTTTAAACAAATCAATGTCCAAGAGACTGGTAAGATCGAGTAAAGGTGCTACATAATGGAGGCTTGACAAAATTGATATTAGAAAAGTTAAATCGAGATCAGGTGGATCTTGCAATATCAGAGAAGCAGACACCGTATGCAACAAGAAAGGATCAAGATAATAAGACTAGTTATTTTCAAGAGTATCTGGTATCAAATGGTTGTGCATTTTCAGTAAAAAAAAATTTTCATATTATTTTATGGTGGAAGAAAACAATTTCCAATGGTAAACCATTGAAGAGTGGATTAAGCTCTTGCAAGGACGATAGAGATGAACCATAATATATTCGGTGTACTCTTTTACTTCCCTCTCTCTTTCTCTCTAATCTTCAGTATAGTTTTTCATGCTTAGGTTTGTATTGCTTTCATAGAATAACATGCTATTAGGATTTGTCTACTTATAGAGATTTCATGATTAAAGTTTAGGTATGTGATAGATATAGTCATTTGAACATTCTCTCTTGTGATTATTGTTGCATGAAATCTTGTTTTTAGATTGATCATTTGATTAATCAAATTCAATTTGAGCTTAGTGTGAAAATTGAATTATGATAATTGTTGAACTTCTTGTTTAAGCAACTTCATATTCCTCAATTGTTGTGAGTATTGACAATCTAAGTTAAGCGTAATATTCGTTTAATTATATGCTTTACAAAACCACCACTAACTCTTGCTTCCATTTGTAATTTGCTCCCATGATATCAACAATTTGCCTCTGAGCATGTAATATGTGCATTTATTGATTAAACTATAATTTTGTAAAAATAATTGTTTTTGAAAAGGATTTATAGGGAAACAGTATATTCACCTCCCTCTAGACCGTTTCGATCCCCATATCCTCCACCAACATCATCCTCCCTGAAACTAACTCCAGCCTCCTAGCAGGATATGATTCCCAACAACGAAAGGATGACTTTGACCATGTATGCAAGATTTGTATGAGAAGTATGTGCCACTTAATGCATCTCGAGAGAAGATCTACCAAGACTGTGCCAACATAGAATTCTAGAAAAGACGAGTCTAACCCCCTTACCCTATTAGATAGTCATCTCAGATAGACAATTCAAAGTACCATTGCTTTCATAAAGGTTGCAGTCACAAAACTAACGACTGCATCTAGCTGCAAGATGCCATCAAAGGACTGCTCAAGTGAGCATGGTTGGATGAATACGTGAAAAGGGGGAAAAAGAAAGGGAAGAATCACACAAAGGAAAATCTTACTCAAACATTGACGAGGCAGGGACCAGTGGTGAGAGAAAAGAAGCCAACAAAGGTAAGAGACCACGATACCATCACCGAAGGAACACCCCGAGCAAACCTACCTTCTAAGGGAACCATGAAGAGAAAGATTGCCAATATGTTGGTCGTCTATAAAAATGATGGTAATACATTAGTGAATATCCACGACTCATCGATGCTAAGATTTCAGGATTCTGAGAAGGTTGCGGCATTCCTATTGAAATCTTTCCCTTGGTTATTACAACCACCACCGGGCAGTTCAACATCTCGCAAATCCTAATTGACTGTTGTAACTCTTGTGATATCATTTATTCATATTTGTTTGAAAAAATGGGCCTTTAAAGATGAAGGTTATGTATGTATGAAGGCTTAGACTTACATGTATTTAATGGGATGACCACCCATTCATGGGGGTATGTCGAGCTGATGATATCCGTAGGCGAAGGAAAGGACATATGAAAAGTCAATTCACAATTCCTCATTGTCACCTGAAGGAGCGTCTATAATTGCATTATGGGAAGACCCTTCATAGCTACGCTGGACGCTATAGCCTTCTCGGTCCACCTCAAGCTCAAGTACCATAATCTTCAGGGGGGAACCGACCATCATTAATGTCAATCTTGAAGGGAAAAAAGAATCTATCAAGCGCTCAAGCGAGATCAAGGAAATGGTGCGGCCATGGAAATCAATGTGGCGTCCCTGACCGGTTAGCTCCAAAGCATGAACATTCACCCACCAAGACGTGGTTGAGCTACAAGAAAGAAAGCAAGAAGAATAAGCGGAGGCTAACCCGCATGGTTATGTTTTCTATCCTATTTGTACTACATGTTATGTCTGTATAATCACTCTCCTCATGTACATGAGCAATTCTCAATTATGAATGAAATATGACAATTTATGAAATACGCGTTTCTTTGTGATTGTGCATAGTAGCAACAAGTCCAGGGTACGACCGGCGATATCAAAGTCTGGCACTAAGAAGTTCAGGGGTGTTGTCCTAGACGCTTTGCTCGTTCGATTATAACAATCAATTCCCCATGAAACAAAGCACACACTGAGAAATTTAGAGGGTGTTGTTGCAAACACCTCACGCGTGTGACTATAACAATCAATTCACCATAATTTAGAGTGATCTTGCAGACGCTTTGTATATGCGACTACAACAATCAAATCCCCACAGGCAATAATGATCCACTCCCCTCTGGCAGCTGGCCACACGTCTACCTCTCATCAGGTTTTCACCTAGGGGCGAGAAAGGAATCTACCATTGGTCGGGAATTCCCTAGTGATGACCAATAAACTTCGAGGGAAGGCCTCATAAATTCGCCTGAAATTTAGAGTTCCACACTTAGGATCACGCATATACACCTCTTACATGAAAGCAAAATATCATAAGAAATGAGGATAGCCACAATTGGGAAAGATGACTAAAAGAAATGCAACACTGACTCTTCAAGAACTATATGTTATCATGCAAAAAGAAGTATACTCTATCAAACATGTTAAATCACTCGCATGCAACACTCGAGGGTTTCAATTCCCGAGGGTTATAATGATGAAACCTCTGAAAAGACATTTGAAGTGCGAAGTAGTAAATACGTGAATTCCAAAGAAAATGAAACATTCACTTTACTCTTCTAAAAATAAATGAGAGAGAGGTCGACAGAGACTAGTACGACAAACCCTTGCCTTGCCACGCATAGACAATGGCTTAGGGGGGCATTTGTTCTAAGTTTGTATAATCCCCGCTTGACAAACAACAAGTTGATTATTTTCTCTCTACCATATAAAGAGAAAGCGCCGATTTATTAAGTACTAAGTTTAAAACTCAATTTTAATTCACTCTTCTACTAAATTTAAAACTCAATTTTAATTCACTCTTCTACTAAGTTTAAAACTCAATTTTAATTCAGGCAAAATACTCATTTTGGTCCCTTAACTATACCCTTGGGTTCATATTGGTCCCTTAACTTTTTTTGTGTCATTTTGGTCCCTTAACTTTCAAAAAGTTTCATTTTAGTCTTTTTTGTCTAAATTCGTAGCTAATTAGACGGAAAAACTTTGAAATCAGCCGCTAAATTCGTAGCTAATTAGACAAAAAGGACTAAAATGAAACATTTTGAAAGTTAAGGGACCAAAATGACACGAAAAAAAGTTAAGGGACCAATGTGAACCCAAGGGTATAGTTAAGGGACCAAAATGAGTATTTTGCCTTTAATTCACTCTTCTCCCTCACATAATGACTTGAACGTTGAAGTGCTAACTTTGCATTTCTCTCTCAACTGCATCGGAAGCTGAGATTCGTCGCTGCATCGGAAGCTGAGATTCGTCGTTACCACCGATCATTACTCTATTTATGGTTTCATAATAGAATAATTTTTTAATTTAAAATTTTTAATATATAAATTTTATTATAAAAAAATATTTTTAAAAATTAAAACAAACGGCTAGTTAAAAATTAAGAGAAAAGTAGTTCATTAAACCCACAAGCAAGCTCCACCAACAAATAAGACAAGCAAGCTTCAGAATCCACCGGACACTTGTTACATTTTCATTGACCGACACTCCGCGTAACCCAACAGCAAACTCTCAGGCCCTGCCTCTGTCTAAACAATATCATAATCATATTACTCCTTAATCTTCTCTAAAAACACAGTTTAAGAAGCTAAACCTTTTTTCTATTAAAAACCAAAGAACACGCATGAAACACACGCTCTCTCATAATTGGACAATCACAACATAAACTACACTTGCAGTGTATTACACGCGCTCTCACAAAGAATCTCTTTACTCAGTAGTGGTGCTAGCAGTGAATTTAATATTTGATTAAAGAAAAACACAAACCATGGTTAAGGAAGTTGGGTTTATTTACTGTGTCTGGTTTAGTAGCAATTAATGTAATGTAACGCTATTATTATATAGCACTCATACCTTTGGAAGAAAAAAAATATCACACATCGGCACTGATATTATAAAAATTATATTTAATTGATTATTTTTTAAATTATTATTAGTGTCATTGTGTCGAAATTAAAATTATGTTTGAGATGTTAATTGTTTAATCTTGCAATATAATGTCATCATACATCAGTGACACTGAAATTCTTTTGTTTGTATAAAGACATCCTATTTGTCGTTTGTTGGTTGGTTTTGTAATGTAAAAATTATCATTATGATGAATCAACTAAAAACCCTTTCAGTTTTTCTAGACAAAAAGGTAGTAAAAGTTATTCTCACTTCACATACACCATTGTGAGTGTGATTTTGACAAAGAACAAGATTCTTTCGTCTATGTCTCTTCTCCAACTAACATTCATTCAAGGTTTCCAATCCTTTTCATTCCTCTTCTAATACTCTTCTTCCTCTTCTGTTTCTTCATTCAATTAATCTCAGGTATTTCATATTTGTATCATTATTGTTAATTCTGTTATTATATTATAAGATTTCGTCAAATTGTTAAATCTGTTGAATGATGTGTTTTTTTTCTGAATATAGTTTCTAATATGGTAAAAGTATTTGGACTCTGTCAAATCCAGTAAATGAGTGTCCATGCAAGTTCTTTTTATGGTTACTTTTTTTTTTTGTAGTGTAACATTGCTGGTTTTGGTGTATGAGTAATAATGGTGTTTGATGTTTTCAGATTTATGAAATTGATGTTTTGTTTATTGTGTTTTTGTAGGATTTTGACTGTTAGTGAGTGAGTGAGAAAAATGGCTTCAAGGTCATATTCCAATTTGTTAGATCTTACTTCATGTGGCTCGCCGTCGTCTTTCGGTCGGGAGAAGAAAAGGCTTCCTAGAGTAGCAACTGTTGCTGGAGTGTTGTCTGAGTTAGATGATGAAACAAATACCAGTGTTGGCTCTGATGCTCCTTCGTCTGTTTGTCAAGAAAGGATGATTATTGTTGGTAACCAGCTTCCGGTGAAGGCGCAAAGGAAAGAGGAGAATGGTAAGTGGGAGTTTACTTGGGATGAGGATTCACTTCTTTTACAGCTGAAAGATGGTCTTGGTGATGATGTCGAAACGATCTATATCGGTTGTCTTAAAGAAGAGATTGATCCAATTGAGCAAGATGATGTTGCTCAATACTTGCTTGATAATTTCAAGTGTGTACCGACTTTTCTCCCTCCTGAGCTTTTTACTAAATTCTATCATGGTTTTTGTAAGCAACATCTTTGGCCTTTGTTTCATTACATGCTTCCGCTTTCGCCTGATCTTGGTGGTCGATTCGATCGATCCCTTTGGCAGGCTTATGTTTCTGTCAACAAGATATTTGCTGATAAAGTGATGGAAGTCATTAACCCTGATGAGGACTTTGTTTGGGTTCATGACTACCACTTGATGGTTCTACCAACTTTTTTGCGAAAGAGATTTAATCGGGCGAGGCTAGGATTCTTCCTCCATAGTCCTTTTCCGTCTTCCGAGATATACCGAACGCTTCCGGTTAGGGATGAACTTCTTAGAGCCCTTCTGAATTCTGACCTTATAGGGTTTCATACTTTTGACTATGCTAGACATTTCCTCTCCTGCTGCAGTAGAATGCTAGGAATTGCTTATCAATCCAAGCGAGGGTATATCGGTCTCGAGTACTATGGAAGAACTGTTAGCATTAAGATTCTTCCGGTTGGTATTCATATAGGCCAGCTCGAATCGGTCATGAATCTTTCCGAGACAGAAAGCAAGGTTGCCGAATTAAGAAACCGGTTCAAAGGTCAAACTGTTATGCTTGGGGTGGATGACATGGATATCTTCAAAGGAATCAGCTTAAAACTTTTGGCCATGGAACAATTGCTTTTACAACATGCTGATAAGAGAGGAAAGGTTGTTCTGGTTCAAATCGCAAACCCTGCTAGAGGCCGCGGAAAGGATGTGCAAGAAGTGCAGTGTGAAACTTATGCAACAGTGAAAAGGATAAACGACACATTCGGAAGGCCTGGATACACACCCGTCATCTTGATCGATACAACACTGCAAAGTTATGAGCGGATTGCTTATTATGCAATTGCGGAATGTTGTCTTGTTACAGCTGTAAGAGACGGGATGAACCTTATACCCTATGAGTATATCATTTGTAGACAAGGAAATGAGAAAATAGACGAGATCTTAGGAATAAGCTCGACTATTCATAAGAAGAGTATGTTGGTGGTGTCTGAGTTCATTGGTTGCTCTCCATCGTTAAGTGGCGCGATTCGTGTGAATCCGTGGAATATTGATGCTGTTGCTGAAGCTATGGATTCTGCATTAATGGTCCCGGAGTCTGAAAAACAAATGAGGCATGAGAAGCATTATAGGTACGTCAGTACACACGATGTTGCATATTGGGCTCGTAGCTTCTTGCAGGACCTGGAAAGAGCTTGTAGGGATCATCTGAGAAGGAGATGCTGGGGGATTGGCTTTGGTTTAGGATTTCGAGTAATTGCTTTGGATCCAAACTTTAGAAAACTATCTGTGGAACATATTGCTTCCGCTTATAAGAGGACTAAGCAACGGGCGATTCTTTTGGATTACGATAGTACTATGGTGCAGCCTGGATCAATTAGTACAACACCTAATGCTGAATCTGTTGCCATCTTGAACAGCTTGTGCAGTGACACCAAGAATTGTGTTTTCCTTGTAAGTGGAAAGGAGAGAAAGACTCTTACTGAATGGTTTTCTTCTTGCGAGAAGCTTGGACTTGCTGCAGAGCACGGCTATTTTGTGAGGTATGTTATGTTACATTTCCTTGTGTTATGCTGCTTATGCATGTGTTTTGTGGCGACTGTAAACTGACAAAATTTTATACCTTTTTTCCCAGGACAAGTCATACTGAAGAATGGGAAGCTTGTGTTTCTGTGCCTGATTTTGACTGGAAACAGATCGCTGAGCCAGTTATGCAGTTATATACAGAAACTACTGATGGTTCTAACATAGAGTCCAAAGAGAGTGCACTTGTTTGGAATTACGAATTTGCAGACCGAGATTTCGGTTCATGCCAAGCTAAGGAGCTTCTTGATCATCTAGAAAGTGTTCTCGCCAATGAGCCTGTTTCAGTTAAAAGTGGCCCAAACATTGTGGAAGTTAAACCTCAGGTCAGTATATTGAGATCAATTATATTTCGTTGAGGTAGTGTGCATATGAAACACCAGACACATATACATACACAATACTGACACATAGACACTAGAATAATTTAAGAAAATAGAAATGTTTGAATGTAACCACACTACTCGGGTCATGTCACTAACAAGTGTTGAACATCAGACATGCTTTCAATATGAAGTATTGATGCTACATTTTTGGTGCAGGGTGTGAGTAAGGGTATTGTAGCGGAACGTCTTCTGACAACAATGCAACAAAAGGGTGTGATTCCGGATTTCGTTCTATGCATTGGTGATGACAGATCCGATGAAGACATGTTTGGAGTAATAACAAGTGCAAGGGCATCGCTATCGCCTATTGCTGACGTCTTTCCTTGTACTGTTGGTCAGAAACCAAGCAAGGCAAAGTACTACTTGGAAGACACAAGTGAGATTTTAAGGATGTTGCAGGGTCTTGCCAATGCTTCTGAGCAAAGTGCTGCTAGAAATTCATCCCAGTTTCCTCATCATTAAGCTTTTCTAATATATGTAGGAAACATATTCTAATATCATTGGCTAAATAGTAGTATGTGTGAATACTTGGTTGCTTTTCTTGTGCTGTACTTTTAGATCTGTTTTTATTTATAATCCCAACGTTGTTGCTACTACATATTTGTATTGTATCTATGTTGTCCATGGTTAATTTAGATAATAGAAATAATTTTTAAATCATTTTCCTCCATGTGCAATTGAGCCAAAAACCTTGACAGTGTCAATCTGAAATAAATTATAAAATGAAAGTGAAAAGACATGATATTGAAAAATATTTTTACACTATCAATCACCACCACCGTATATCTAATTAAATCATTATTATTCAAGCATATCTGTCCGCAGTTTACACAATAGGCATAGGTTGTTATATATTACATATATTCGTTACACCACATATATTTCTTCATAAATTTTTAAAACTCAATATTTTATTACGCGTATCTAAATATATTTTATACACCGTCAACTTTTAGAATGTGTGTTTATGTGACACAAGTCAACTTTCACACCTCTCTCTCTCATTCTCATTATTCATCAAAAATGAATTCAAAATCCTCAAAATCACAAAAAAATCATTTATCATAAAAATCAAATATTATCATGCATAATTCACAAATCATCAAACAAAATATAAGATAGGTTAAATTTTCTTATGTATTTGTTATTTGAGAAGTTTATTGGAAGATTGAGAATCTTAGGTTGTAGGGCTCTTCCGTCCACCTACATTAAGAGAATAATTTTGAGACACCTTTGTAATTCTATAGGCTAAATAGATATGACAAGGTTTTGATGATGCTAAAGACATCAAAACAAATATCTTAAAACAAGAAGAAAGTTTGAAACAAAATAAAAAAGCAATAAATTTGTTGGCGATTTGTGCAAAATAATCAAATGCTAAAAAACATCATTAAGAATGTCATCTACTAAAAGTCAAAGACATTCATCTACTAAAAGTTAAAGAATGTTCATGTCACGTGCTATTTCCTTTTCATCTATGATCAAAATTGTAAGAATAAATGATTTTCTCTTTAAGTACTAAACTCATGCATATACATGCATGCACACACACGTATGAATGCATATATGTGTACGTACGCGCACACAAATGTACACATATTTTTAAACTTTATCCTTTTCAAAATATTTTATTAAATCACTTTGGATTGAGGCAAAATATTTTAAATTAAAGTATAATTAATTATGAGTTTAAATTTCTATAATCAATTATAGAGAAAAACTAGACCTATAACCAATTATTATTAGAAGTAATTCATATTCAGAAGTTGTGTTAGACAGAAACAGAAATTTATGATGTTGTTACTGTCCCAGAAGCTGTGCTTAGCTTTTGGAGGTTTGTTTGTTTAGTTTGTTATGTCTACGTGACAGTTAACGTGGTTAATAAGCTTTTAACTTTGTCTATGTGACATGTTTTCTTTTGTGTATTTAAACAACTCTTGTAACTGAATTTCATAGTACAATTAATTATAATTGAATTTCACCACTGAGAGTTTGTTATGTTTCTCTCTCTCTCTCTCTCTCTCTCTCTCTCTCTCTCTCTCTCTCTCTCTCTCTCTCTCTCTCTCTCTCTCTCTCTCTCTCTCTCTCTCTCTCTCTCTCTCTCTCTCTCTCTCTCTCTCCCTCTTCTTGCATCTTCATCTTCAACCTTGTGCTCCAATAATTGGTATCTAGAGCTCTGGTTCGATTCACATGGAAACACAAGTGTACTTAAGGCGTGTGTGATTGATTTCGCTGTTCTTGAAATTGCATTGAATTCACGATCGGAATCGTAACAGAATTGTATTTCTTAATTTTGTGGGATCACGAAACATGAGTGTTTAGTAAAATCTGATATCCATTTGAGTTTCAGTGCACGAGAACGAAGATGAACAACAGAAATAGCTTGAATACGAAGCTTCTAGTGTTTAATGGAAAGAATTGGAATCGATGGATGATGTGTGTGTTGTTCGATGCTTAAGATGTTATTGATCTTGTTACTGGCGGTTATATTCCACTTGCAGTGGAGGCGACAGCCGAACAAGGAAACATGCAAAGAGATACAAGGAAGAATGATCAAAAGGCGTTGTTATACATCCATCAGTGTATGGATGCGAATATGTTTGAGAAAATCATTGATTCAACGATGGTGAAGGTTGTGTGGGATATACTGACATGGTGCTACAACAGTGATGCGTCAGTGAAGAAGGTGAAGCTTCAGTCCCTATGTAAGCAGTATGAGAATCTCAACATGAATAACAATGAGAAGATACCTGATTACATCTCTGGAGTGATTTTGATCACAAATGAGATTAAGGCTTGTGGATAAACTCTCTTTGAATGAATTATCATTGAAAAGGTACTTAGATCTCTTACTCCTCAGTTTAATTACACTGTTGTAGCAATTGAACATTCTAAGAATATGAGCACCATGAGAATTGAAGAGCTGCAAAGCAGTCTAGAGGCACAAGAGTTACATCTGACTGAGATAACTTATGAAAGAAAAGTAGAGCAGGCTATGAAAGCTTCTTTTGTCCAAAAAGACCATAATCATTCTTGTTCAGAGGCCAATAAAATACATGGTGGTAGTTCTCAGAAGTCAAAAGCCTCCAATTATGATAAGAAGAAACATCAGAAGTAGAAGGAGAAGCTTGACAAGAGAAATGTTCAAAATTACAGTTATAATAGGTTTGACCACTTTGCTAAGGACTATTGGTCAAACAAGGAAAGGAATTCAAAAGAAACAAATATTAAAAGATAGAGAAAAAACACAAGAAATGGGGGTTGAATTGGATTTTCAAAAGCTTCTTCAAAAAATGCTTTACACAAACAATCAAGATTAAAACAAGTTAAGAGAGAAATGACATGTTTGATTTATACAAGTTCACCTTCTCAATAAGGCTACCTCTTGTCCACCCTACCAAGGTGATTTCACCTTCAACAAAGACTTAATCTAATAATCTAGAAAGATTATAATTAACGTCTAAGTGGTAGAACATAACTTAGCCCTCTCAAGTATACAGATTATTCACTCTAGCCACTTAAGAAAACCAAATCGTCTAAGTGTTAGGAAATACCTTAGCCCTCTCAAGTATACAAACTATTTACTTTAGTCACTTGAGGAAAATCAATTTAAATAAATTAAAATCATGTGTTTACAAGAGTGCTTCTACAAGAGCATACTACACACAGTTTGAGTTTAATGATATAACATAAAGGTTTTAAGCAAGTTTATGAGAAACAACTCATTGCTAGCAAGTAATGAACATCAGTTCCTTGCTTTGACAAACTTATACAAAGATGATATCAAACCGAGTTTGTGCAATGATTTCTTCTTCTTCGTTTTAGTCTTTGTTTTGTATTAGTTCGTCAAGTTTGTAATGAAACAGTGAACTCCTTATATAGCCTTAAAAAGAGACGTTGGAAGAGTAACATAGTCTTTTCAATTGCAATTTATCTTCAACAGATAGTGCCACAGTGGTAGACAAAATAGTATAACAATATTATCCTTTTCGCTGTAAAACTAGGGTAGAGTGGGCACTGTAAATTGTACCTTTGTACACTTCTCCACGTTAACAAATTTGAACTTTCCCAATCTTCAGAGGCTTTTGATAATAGTTGATGAAGCATGTATTAGAAGATTCAAATTTGGATTAGAATCTTTAGACTCAAAGTCTTCAGAACTCGTTCAGCAGAACCTTGTCTTCAGAATTCTTCAGCACTTGATCTTCAGAGGCTTCAGAACCTAAGTCTTCAGAAGTCTTTAGAATTCGTTCAGCAGAACCTTGTCTTCAGAAGTCTTCAACACTTTTTCTTCAGAAGTTAAACTTTAGAAGGCCTCCAAAGTTTTCTTTAGTCGTGACCAGAAGCTCTATTACTAACATTCTTCGGAACCGTTGCATAATAAGCATTCTAGAATATTGACTTTGAACTGGTAACATACTATAGGTATTCTTCTAGAGTGTTCAGATCAGAATCTAATGACGTCACACGCCTTTCTTCAGAATCATAACCTGTTAAGCAAAAGCCACACTAGACAAAAACCATTAGAGTATATAATTGTTATCAAAGATAACATGTAAAGTCATCATCAAAACTCAAGGCCAGATGTAGAACCAAGTCTTGTTCTTACAATCTCCCCTTTTTTGATGATGACAAAACCACGTATTTTGATAGAACAATTCATACAAGGTAATAACCATAAGAACTCAAATTCAGAGTTAAGCATAGAAGCTCCCCCTGAATATGTTACACTTAAAATTCTATTTATGCTTGTTCAGAATCTCCCCCTGAGCCCAAAACTCACAAAATAAATTTGCAATACAAAAGGTAAAATAGAGAAGGAATACTTCCATGTTGATGTCTCATCAGAGTATGAATAGAACTATTTGGTCTTGAACTCAAAACCTGGCTTGCTATCAGAACATGATGATGTATCAGAACCTGGTGTGCCTGACTTAATGATGCCTCACATCATGCATAAGAACTAATTTCTTAGTTCTTCAAGTATCTTTGATCATGTCACCAGAAGGTGTAATGCATCATTCATTAGAAGGTTCATCACTTGAACCTAAATTGTATGACCATGTCTTTGAACGAATCTTCGGAAGGTTCACAAACTCTGAACGATTAGTGGTGTTGAACGGTTTTCCTTTGCTTCCAAAAAGTTCACAGCTTCTGAACAACTCGATGTTATCTAAGCACATGTTACCAGAGCACACATTGCTATCCTTTCAAATTCTTTAGAAAGCTCACATCTTGTGAACTTGAATGTTGTATCAGAGCTCATTCTTTCAACTTCTTCAGAAAGTTCTCAACATATGAACCATATTTGTATCAGAGCTAGATTGCCTTACTTTCAGAAAGTTCACATTCTCCAGAAGGAGTGTGTTTTACTAGAGCTTACTTCTTGATCATGTCTTAGAAACTTAGTGAACTTTATAAAGTTCCTTAATTAAGCATAAAACAATTGATTAGAAACAAAA